ATGTTGTAAATAAACATGGCTGTCAAACACAATTGGGCATACTAAAGACTAGCATACAGTATTGACCCAAACTATTTAGCTTTTCTTATTAAGTAATATAATTGGTTAACCATGCTAATTAGAAAAACACAAACTTGACCATACTGAAGACTAGCATATTGACCCAAATTATTTAGCTTTTCTTATTAACTAATATAATTGGTTTTACCATGCTTAGAAAAAGATAATATCTTTTGAAAATGTTTCAATAGAATGAATGTACTGCTTTTTTACAGCATTTATTTAGAGAAATGTATAAAAGCATTTAAAAGACAATTTGCTGGAACAATTAATGTACAATCATAGTTTATAAATTAATAGTACAAAATATTTTTTTTATAACAGTTTTTTTAATTATCATTTATGCATACCTTATAAATATATAAATCAGTTTAATATAATAAGAACAAACAAATATGAGTTAAATAATATAAAAATGCCCTGAAATTCAGAATGCAATATTTTAAATTTACAATTTAATTAAATATTACAATTATTGATTAATGCTTTAATTCTTTTTTAATTACAATTAGTTTTCCATAACTTATAAAAATAAATTTAATATAATTAAAATACAAAAATATGAATATATATATACAATATGCTCTGAAACTCTGATTAAATATTTTAAATTTACAAATTACTATATTCAAATTAAAGAAAAAGTATAAAGAGTAAATACAATAATTTCATTATTTAGAACCTAACATTAATTGAACTATCAATTGAATCATCGAAAGTTGAAGCTGAAGCTACTTTATATACATAATACTAAAGGTAGGGAAGATATGATAGTCTCTCACACTAGCCTTCCCTATAGCAAAAATCTTAGTAGACATTAGCACAACCCATACCAAATAACCTAAGTAAGATCTTGTAGATCCAGTATTTATAGCACTATAGTTAATAGACACTAATAGATCTTAGTAGTTTTCTTTTCATTGAGAATAATACAAATTAATGCTTGCCTTAGTTGTTGGTCAATGTGTAACGATACTGAATGCTCAGAAAGCCTAAGTTCGCAAATGTTTGTGAGAAAATCTTGTGATTCAGGTGGGAATCAAACAAAGTGATTCTTATAATGCTTGCATCACAGCACTTTACAGTAAGCACTTATCATCCAAAGTTGTCACTTGGATGCATGCAACCTCCAATCTCATTAATATAATAACAAAATTATATCTATTGTTTATTAGGCCATGTAAAATAAAATAATTGGTTAGCATCCCCTCCCTACCATCAGAAAGGCCACCGACCAGATTTTTTTCAAACTCAATTTAATATAGGTTTTTTTACCACCCGTCCGCACGCTAGCCAGACCACTTGCAGTTCTATGCTGTAGCCACATGGCATTCATGACGCCAGTTGTGTTGGAGTGAATTGTGTGTGATTATATAGTCTGAGATAATTGCATTATGACTGTTATTTTAGGGAGATGTAAAAGAATAACATCTCCCTGGTTATTCATCGTAAAGTTTCTGCTTGCTATTGATGAATTATATAATTTCTTGTATGCAGTTTTGGTCTCTGTTGCTATTTTCTTTTTCTTTTTTTTTTTTTTGCTGGATAAGGATGCTAACCATTTTTTTTTTTTTTACATGGCCTTATTGTTATTGATGATAAAGATATGTTGTTGGTAGGCTGTCATTAGGTCAAGTGTTTGAATGTTCACTGTGCATACTGTATCACTTGTGGTTTTGGACAAGGCACACTTGAATCTGTCCCTCCCCACCCAATATCATAAATGGGTACCTGGAAGGATGTTGTGGTATTATTAATGAATTAGTCTTTGTGCACAAAATTACACCACAACAAGGTATATTTGCAAATTCACTGAACAAGAGTGAAAATGCTCTACGTTTCATAATGGCATCACTTGTATACCATTCATATAGCACAAATATCCATTTTCAAGAAACTGCCCAATGCGTTTGGATACCGTTTCACTTATATACAGTAATAGGCAATACCTGTACAGTATTATTATAATAATAATAGGCAGCTTTAAAAACTCACCCTTTTAATGTGTATTTTCTTAAATTTTTTTCTCCTGGCATTTTCATTTTTATTGTTAATAAGCGCATTGAGGCTTTTAACATAATGCGCTACAGTATACAAGCCAAAGTTATTATTATTGCTATATTATTATAATTATTATTATTATTATTATTATTATTATTATTATTATTATTATTATTAAAGAAAATACAAAAGTTTCAACAGTCATTTTGATATAGACATTTTATTACTATTTTGTGTAACTCGCACATACATGATGCAACACTCTGACAACATTGTCTAATGAGTAACGTAGAATAACATAGTATAATTAATGTCAAAACTGAGCATTTGCAGAACTACTCTGCTGCTTGTATATTACTTTAAACAGGCATAAATGAATATTGTCCTGGAATAACAAGTAACAGTACAATATTTACTGTGACTTTATTTTTATGAGAATTTAAATCAAATTGTACCGTGTATTTTAATAGTTATAATATAGACGGCTTAATATTTCAATGTCATTTAATAGTTAAAACTTTTAACATTGTTTGCATTGTGGTTTGCTACTGCTACTCTTCTTGGTCTATTGGAGATTACACTGATTCCTGCTGGGATATCTAATCCATCATCTTTATGATCTATTCGTTTAATAAAGACACCATTTTTATCAAATAATTGTAGTTTATGATTACTTGACACTATTATATTTTCATCCATATCCATGGTTACACCACAAGGAGCCCAAATTTTACCATCTTCCTTACCACAGCCAACAAGGATTCGCATAAACTTATCATTTGCATCAAACATTTGTATTCTACTATTGGCGAAGTCAGCAATGATCATATGACCTTCCTTGGTTAAAGTAACAACATTTGGTTTATTCATCTGACCTACTTCACTACCCTCTGAACCTATCTTACCTAGTAGTCTACCATCATCAACATTGAATTTAAACACACAGTGAGCCTCACTATCTGTTACATACAGGACTCCAGTTTTTTTGTTTACTGTCAATCCCCATGGATATTTCAATTTTCCTTTACCAAATGAGATGATTTCTTTAAATTTGTCATCACACATTACAACACATTTTCCTAAGAAATCACTGTACACCATGTGACCATCACACATTAGATGCATGCTATCGACCTGTACATTTTGTGGCACCTGTATCTTAGCAACAAATGAACCTGATTGATTGAACTTTAATATATCTTTACTAGCACTAGATACTAATATGCATCCATCTGTGTCTAACACTACATCTGTCACTTTATTTTCTTTCATATGTTCTTTATAATCTGATATGTTACCAATGGTATGTACAAGTCCCAATGCTTCCACCTTGATATTCACTGGAGATCCTTTGATGTGCGCCTCTCCCGCAATAATCTTCATTTGCCAGTCACCTTCCACATTGCATTTACCTGTTATTTTATACTCTCCATTTCCTTGATATTCTACCTCAGTGGCTGATTCTTCATGTGATGGGTTGCTTAGAGTTGCAGATAATTTACTTGCATCGCTCTCACTTAAGCTTGATACGGTTACTACAAATGTTTGTCCTTTTGTGACGGTAATTGCTTCATCATCTTGATCAACCTTGTATATTCCATCAACAGTTGTGATTTTACCAATGCATTCAGTATTCATTACCTCATCCAAGTGTGTAGATGGAATGAAAGTTGGTGTAATATTTTTTTTATGAAATGATTTATCAAAATCAGTTCCTAAAATCTCATCTCTGACAGTGTTGATAGTTGTCTTATGGTATTCAAGAGTTTCAGTTTCTTGTGGTTTGTTCATCATTGTACTGATTGAGGCCATCACATTATTAACTTTAGTCAGCTTTGTATCAATATTTTTAACTTGACTATCAACAACGTTTTTCTTTTCTTTGTATATTTCTTCAAAGTCTGAAATTAATTTTTTGCCTTTTTCTTTTATTTTATTAATAAGTGCCTTCTCCTTCACTTCAATAGCTTGCTTGCATAATTTTAGGTGATGTTCGAAGTCAGATCTGTCATTATTAATAACATCAAGTGTTCCTTTCAATTTGATTTGAATGCCTTGAGCTATATTCATAACCTCAGTAGCATTTTGGTTAAACTCATGGACAGCAGTTTTCATTGGTATCACATTATGATTATTTTGATAGCAACGAATTACATGCTTACAATCCTCACATGCTGATTTCTTGCATGTTGAGCAGTAAAATTCCAGTAAATTTTTCCCATGACTTGGACAAGATATTTGTTCATCTTTGCTGCCTTCTAATGTGTACGATGATTTGCCAGCAGCCATCTGTAAAGAATTAGAAGTTGAAGAACTGTACTCTCATTTTCATATGGCATTATGGGACCTTTTGAATGTTGGAGCGTATTGTGTCTTACCTGGTCAAATTGACAAATGCCAACAGTACTGTTTGTTGACATTTTATGGAGGGGGACAATTTGCTGTCCAAAAAGAATGTTTTATTTAGCTTTTTTTGCAAGATTAGGGATGACTAAATTAGGGCCATGTTGTGTTGCTCTCTGCAACTGACCGAAATTTTCCAGTCATACTAATTACCATCATCAACCGTCAACATCGCTTATTAGGGACTTTTCGATTTGAGTGGACGTGGACGGTTTTCACGTCCGCGTGAGTGGAAAATCCGAGCAGTCGACTGGTACTTGTCCACTGGTTATCTGAACGTTTCGATTTAAGTGAACGTCCATGTTGACACGTCAGTGAACTTATGACCTTGTGATCTGGGGTTTCCCCGTGTTCGCTCGCGCTATTCGAATACACTGGCCTTGGTATCTTACTCAATGGCAAATCTTCATCGGCTTCACGAATCCTTTAATTAATGGTATAACCATCTGGTATTCAGGGCAGGGAGTTGTAAAAACATAAATCTCCCTGTTGAGGGTGCACCTCTCCTTCTTTGTTCAATATAGGATTTTTTTTTTTGACAGATCACTGAAAAATTATTTCCTTTTTCCTGAATACGCCCGGCCTGACTGAAAGCTGGTGGCCTCGCCTACTAGCCTAGGCTTAGGCTCCCTTGGCCTAGCTAATAGGCTGATTAATTAATTACCTAATTATCCACTGAATTTGATCCACAATAATGGATAATTCTATAGTTTGCAAATAGGACATAACTTAACCGAAATGCTATTTACTTACATCCCCAGTAGAAGATAATTTTGCCAAATTAAGAAGCACCGCGACACCGTCCTCCATCACGAATCAAAAGTTTGCAGTGATATGACGTCATATGTGTACTTGTTATCTCAGAGAGCGAACGTCAAAACGCTGCTGAACACGTTCTCAAATTTGGCAGTCGTGTTATTCGACTTGACGCATGCGCAAGTCATCAAAACTACGTCATAGGTTATCAGTCGACATAGTGGACGTGCAAATCGAAAACTTCTTATTGACAGTTGTTGACAGTAATTAGTATGTCAACAACACTTGTTGACGGTATTTAGTTTTGTGTACGGTAATACTATTTACTGTCATTAACCATCATACAATAAGCGTCCTGTGATATACACAGGACATATGCAAATAGATTAATAATAGTACGGTATTCATAAATAAATAACAACAATAATAATGATAACAATGCCGTAGTAATAAAATAATAGTAA